TTCGTGCTTCGTGAGCCTGCGATCTCATCCGAGGTCAAGGGCGGCGTGGTCTGCTGATCTGGACGTGAGACGGAAGTCTCGTCCGTAGATGGTGCAAATGACGCGTGCTGTTGACCGGGACGTGAGAACGAGGTCTCTGATATATCTAGCGTGGGATCCGAGGTAGACGTAGAGATCCCGCTAGAAGGTTTGATAGGTCGAGCATTGAGTCTCAAGTTATCGGGTAGGGCACTGTCATCGACGTGTGCTGGTTTGAGACGATCAATGCTGACGATCTCGACGCAGCCGTGTCGATCAACCTTGAAGGTCTTTTCGTGACGAGAGATCACGTGAAAAGGGCCTTCGTAAGGCTGTTGTAGAGGTTTGCGTACCGAATCTACTCGTATGAAAACATGTGAACAGGTAGATAACTCTCGAGGGAGAGCGACCTGTCGATGTTGTATTCGAGTTGACACCGGAGACAGTGTTCGCATAAATGCAGACAGTCGATGGACGTAGTCCGAAATCATTACTGCTCCGTGGTGTGAAGAATTCCCCAGGCAGACGCAATGTCGTGCCGTATACAAGTTCAGCGGCGGAACATTGAATATCTGCCTTCAAACTCGTTCTGATGCCTAAGAGAACGAGCGGTAAGGTTTCGTACCAATTATCGTTTTCGTGTGCTCGAAGAGCACTTCTAAGTTGGCGATGAAACTGTTCGACTAAACCATTCGATGCTGGATGGTAGGCGGTAGTGCGTATGCGTTCCGTACCAAGCAGCCGGGTCAGTGAGGAGAATAATGCGGACTCGAATTGTTGTCCTCGGTCAGTCGTGACAGTCGAGGGACAACCATACAGTGCTATCCATCGTCCTACGAAGCGGTGAGCAACTGTCTCCGCCATGATAGACGTGATGGGAATAGCTTCGGGCCATCTTGTAAAACGGTCAATGCACGTGAGTACGTGATCATACCCATGCGATGGTGGCAATGGTTCTACAATGTCTATATGAACGTGATCAAAGCAAGCATCAAGCATAGCGAACGTGTCAATGGGGCAGCTACGTGCCTGTGCACTTTTGATCGTTGACACTTTAAGCATTGCTTTACCCACATACGAACATCTTTATTCATGGACGGCCAGACGTATCGTGCAGCAATGAGACGTAATGTGGCTGCGATACCTGGATGAGACAATCCATGAAGGGCATCGAAGACGAGACGGCGATAGGTAGAGGGTACGATGGGTCGAGGAAGACCGGTAGAAATATCACATAGGATAGTACCTGAGCTAGTAGCTAGGGCTACTTCCTGACACTGAAGGAACGAAGATTGTGGTGCTTCTGTACAGACAGGATCGTTTGCTTGCGCGGCGGCCATAGCAGGACGATCGAGCACCGGTAAGGTAACTGCATTCGTCTGGATACGTGATAGAGCGTCGGCAACATAGTTCGACTCGCCTTTAATGTGACGAAGGTCTGTCGTGAACTGTGAGATATAGTCCAAATGTCTGCACTCTCGTGGTGAGTAGCGGTCAGACTTGGTATGCAGGGCATACGTTAAGGGCTTATGGTCGGTGAACAAAATGAATTGACGTCCTTCTACTGCGCGCCGGAAATGTTTGATGGCGCAGTTGGCTGCAAGCAGCTCGCGACCAAAAGCGCTATATCTCGTCTCCGTGGGAGTAAGGCGTCGTGAGAAAAATTCAAGCGGTTGCCAACTACCGGAGATAGTCTGTTGCATAACGGCTCCTATAGCGAAATCTGATGCATCAACCGCTATACTAAGCGTGGCTGATTGGTCAGGATGAGCGAGAAGTGTAACTTCAGTGAGAGCCGTTTTGATCTCTGAGAATGCAGTACGTGCGGTATCGTTCAATTCTAATTTGCGTGGATTACCGCGTAGTAAATCGGTTAATGGTCGTAACCGTCCTGCCGCGTGAGGGATGAAACGTCGGTACAGGTTAACCAAACCGAGAAAAGCCTTCAGTTCCTTGATTGAGGACGGCACTTTGTACTCCTTGATTGCTCGAACTTTGTCCTCGCAAGGCAGAATACCCTCTTGTCTGATGATGTGACCCAGAAATATTATTTCTGATTTATCCAATTGACATTTCTCTGGGTTGACTACTATTCCATTATCCGAAAGACGTTGAAATAATAGCGTAAGGTGTTGATAATGTTCATCTACGTTTGATGATGCGATCAGCAGTTCATCAATATAGACGTGAAAAAAAATCCAAGTCTCGTACTATGCTATCGATAAACCTTTGGAAAGTTTGAGCAGCATTCCGTAATCCAAATGGCATTCGTAGGAACTCAAACAGACCGAAAGGAGTCGTGATATCAGTTTTTTGATATCTTCAAGAGCGACTGAGATCTGGTGATATGCTCGTACCAGACCGATTTTAGAAAAGATAGTCATGCCCTTGAGCGATGCCGTGATGTCGTGTATGTGGGGGATGGTGTAGCTATCGAAGCGCGTAACTACGTTTAATGCTCGATAGTCACAATTGATTGATCACTGGGTGACCAATGTCATGCGTGTCTAGTCCTTATTATTAGTGCAGATCGAATGCTATCGATCATGTTGCAATGTGGCCACCAGTCTAGGTGACTCGACACTGCGGGAACTATTGTGAGATTAGATGGTGATTGGAGGTAGTCGACAGGAAACCCTGGACCCGGGTTTCGTGCTACTTGGCACTCGTCAGCAAGGTGTACCTGTAATCTTCGAGGGAACTGGTGCTCCCTGGCGGATTCGATCCCGTGTCACCCAGCTTCACGGTCAGAGACGTTACTACTGAGCTATCCGGGCCGCGACCCACAGGTACACCTTGCTGACGAGTGCCAAGTAGCACGAAACCCGGGTTCAGGGTTTCCTGTCGACTACCTCCAATCACCATCTAATCTCACAATAGTTCCCGCAGTGTCGAGTCACCTAGACTGGTGGCCACATTGCAACATGATTGATAGCATTCGATCTTCACTAATAATAAGGACTAGACACGCATGACATTGGTCACCCAGTGATCAATCAATTGTGATTACATCTCAGTCCTACAGGAGGTCGGTCGCGGCCCGGATAGCTCAGTGGTAACGTCTCTGACTGTGAAGCTGGGTGACACGGGATCGAATCCGCCAGGGAGCACCAGTTCCCTCGAAGATTACAGGTACACCTTGCTGACGAGTGCCAAGTAGCACGAAACCCGGGTTCAGGGTTTCCTGTCGACTACCTCCAATCACCATCTAATGCTCGATAGTCGCCACATGGTCTCCAACTAACCCCATCCTTTTTGCGCATCACGTGAAGCGAAGGCTAATTTGTCCGGTGCCAGTCGGCGTGGTCTTGCCGTGACTGGTGGTCCGCGGGTGACTATGTGTTGTACCACACGATTGGTCACCGATGAAATCTCCTCGAGTGGTTTAGTTATTCTGGGGAATTTCTCGAATAAAGCGTGGAATTTATGGTCACGCGTATAAAAAGTGCCGAGCATTCGGTACGCGTTTGTGTGAGCTTTAAAGCCCATGAATTTACTGTTCGACGAATATCGATTAGCTGCAGCCTACGTATGGCTGTGGGAACATCAGCAATGATGAACGTCCACAGATACCGTCGTCGGTTGCCCAGGTTGACCGCGAGTTGTCGTGTACCGTAGGTAGGGACGGCTGAGCCATTTGCAGCGCGTAGTCGAAGCATTGTAGCTTGTGACTTGATGCTACCACGTGGTAAGACAGAAACTTGGGCACCTGTATCCACTAAGTACCTAGCGTTTGTGCAATAATCGTGCACGTAAAATAAACCGCCAACCTGAGGGGTAGGGCCGGCGAATACGGCCGCTTTTACTCGCCGGCTTTGGAGTTTCCCGCATTGTATGAGCACGGGGCTCGACAACGGCGGGCACCAGATCCGAAGGATCGATGAAACCAGCACCAACCCCCACTCGCTTCCGAAGCCGCCTTTTGGCGTGGCTTGGAAGATGCCCTCGTTGGGCGAGTGTTGACGGCTTTTCGAGAGCGTGAGCGGGCTCGAGGGACGTAGGTTTGGGGTACGTTACAACGGTCTCGAAAGCGAAGACGTGTGTGAATATACCCTCCCCTGTAACCTTGAGCCGGTCTCATAAGAATTTTAGGGTAATAGTGAGTCATGATCTTAAGACCATGGCCTATTGCCGGGAGGACACAGCTAAGTGGATCAGGACACACTAGGCTTTAAGGCGGACATCCACCGAGTTAGACACTGCCATCATCACTAAAGTAAAAACAACACCAGTGAGAACTAAAGATGAGCACTGTGTTCAGGTTGCAAGCAAATGTTTAAAAGGTGACTTGGATATCCCGGAAAATGTACAGAGGGCAGCTACCTGTGCAATTCCGGAACTCCAGGGTTCACCATACAAAGCTAGAGATCTTTACTCTGTCCTATCACAGACTAAGAGGTGACTTAATTTTGATGTAAAGAATACTAAGAAATGATTTTAAGCCTGATATATTGTTTATTTTTCTCCCAATAGTTCGGGGAATCTCAGAAGACATAGCAGGCGGGTAGAAAAGCCAAGAACGAACAAAATACCCGTGGCATACAGGATTTTACACCGAGTCATGAGTTTTTGAAACCTTCAATCGAACCATTCTAGAAGAAACTGGACATTCATAGAGGCTTGTTGGAAAATGAATAATATACGCCGTAGGCCTTCTATTTTTACTACACAAATGTGAATCTGAAATAGCCAACCAGCTTATAGTAGCGCAAACTATAGGGTAGCTAGAGCAGTCTCCTTGAAAACAACAAAATACTCTTGGTCTTCTGCTAGATATTGATACTTCAGGGTTAAAACATCAACTGGCTTATATTAGTTCACCATATTGCAACTGAACTAATAGCATTCACTACCTAATAACTCAAATATCCGACAAATTAGCTTAATAAACTGGTAGTTGCCTTTAAGCTCAGAAGATGCATTATCTTCACTCATCAGATACTTCAAATAACACTCCCTTCATTTATTTGTTTAAATGGCGCCCTTAACATAAAAGCGACACAGATTGTCCATTGAGCCGCTGTTTTTGAAGTCCGACGACAAGGGCTTCTTCAGGACATTTAGTTAGTTTAATATGAGCGATAGAAAAAGTCGCAATGCACCTCGTGGAATGACCGATGATAGAGTTAGAGGAGTGGTCAAGTGGTTTAACGTTAAGGCTGGATATGGCTTCATTACTCGGTCTGATACCTCATCCGATATATTCGTGCATCAAACAGCTATTTCGAGAAATAACCCAGGAAAAATGCAGCGCTCACTTCAGGAAAATGAAGAAGTTGAATTTTTTGTTGTCGAGGGAGACAAAGGTGTAGAGGCCTCTGATGTCACTGGGCCTGACAGAAGGCCGGTAAAGGTACGTTTTTATGTATCAGATATTCTTACAGTTCACAGGGTAGTGCCTATGCCGCAGATCGTCCTTACGGGCGAAGCCCCAGGGAGTATGGAGCGCGCGGTGATAGGAACGACTCGAATGGTTATAGAAGCAATGGGTTTGGATCGTATCGTGCAAGAGGGAGAGGACGCGACGGACCCAGGGTCAGTGCTGTTGGTTATTATGTTTGGTTTGCTCTGAGGCTTGGCTAAAGATGTTTCAAGAAGACAGTAATATCGTATCATACATGCCAATAAGTCTGCATAGCTAGAGCTCATTCTAATTATATGTAAATTGATTTAATAAGCGTATTAGTAGTGTTTATCATGTCAGCGTAGACGCCAAAAATTCGTTAATTAAAAGTAACGATAAAATTCAACAGATCGTTACTGTTGTTCATACCACAGTTCAGTCCCTATCGACGTTAGGTACAGCGTCAAGTCACAAAAACTAATGCTAATTTTGACTACACAATACATCACTTGTGCATCCGTTGAGGCAACCAACTCTAAATTGGTCGGAATGGCGCTGATCCATCTGTCCTTCATCTAGTAACAGTACTATTCCATACGCATTTTGCAAATCTGACTTGAAGAATCTCATTTCTAATGTTCATTTTTTACCAGTATCTTCACTGCCCACATAACTTTCCTAAACATTCATCTGACTAAAGTTAATTTCCGTACCAACATTGTGTAGCCACCTGGACCAACATACAAGTAGTAGACTTAACGTTAAAGTGCGAGCAAAATTTCTGCACAACTTTGACTTCCACACTAATATTGACTAATTCAATTAGCATCTTGCAGGTGGTTGTATTTGGTAACTTTTTAAGATGCGACAGTACTGTTAACATTTTCGCATCAAATATATGACTAACACCTTAAGTCTGCCGGCATCCCTAAATATTTTCCTCTCAACTCAAGACGGCATATGTACGACGTTCGCCAGGATACCGAACATGTCTAGCATCAAAAATAAAATGGTTATCGCGTAAATGCAACATGCTAGAATCTGCTAAACTGGTGTGCATATAAAAGTGATATTTTTAGAGCTCATAAAGCAGTTAAACTTATGCCAATACAGCATGTCAGTATACACCAGAGAAAATCGACGAACGCAACATGTCAGCCGTGTAGATTTGCAGTTTTGAGTTCTGATGCTTAACATGCTAAGTCACTGTATTTTCCATCGTTCAAATTTGTACGCACGTTTATACGACTTGCGTGGATAATTTCATGGGACTTGATAATATTATTTTCACATGTAGCTAGTTTATTCGATTTGTGTTGCTGTGATGTGTAAAAACGTGAAATAGTGCACTTTGTTGGGACACATTATGGCCTCAATGATTTATATATCTTTAGCCTATCGTAATAATGAGGGGGTCGTTTTGTGAGCCAACGTACCTGGTGGTCATATTGTTTGTATGTTACAAAGACATCGTCTTTGACATTCTATATTTCTTTCGTTTTCCACTTAGTTTACACTACATTAAAAGTATATTCTTTTTTTATAATTGGCTGTTAGGTTGGTGGTGATTTCTCAAGGAGATTTGAAGAACGCAATCCACGGGATCGCAGCCGTGGATATGGAGTGAGGGATAATGGTGGTTATTACTCTAGCCCATACTAATTTCAATCTATGTTGTACATATTGCATTTTTAATGCCTAATTTGTACATTTTATCTCGTAATATCTTGTTCTAGTTGAAAGTCATTTTTCTGTGGATATCACGATATATGCATTTATATGTATCTAAAATAAACTTGCAATTTTCGTTTAAACCTTGGAAGTTAAAAACTTAGTAACTGCGTCCAGTTCAGGTAAGCTTCGCTTAGAGCATGTGTCTGTTACAAATCGAAAATAAATTGGTTCTATAGAAAACTCGAAAAATGCTCGTGCATCAACATAGAATCAGGTAAAATCTATTCGATAAGTCGTCCTCTCGCAAAGAATTCGTACAATACCCACAATCAGTGCCAATACGACTCATTCATTAAACACTGGCTCGACTTTAACTTGCACTGTTATGCATTAGTCGTGTGCACATTCCCCATGGTACGTGTAGCTGTTGCACTAACTAGATTCATCAGTATATTTGCTTCTCGAGGCTCTAATGGTTCGATAACGATATAAACACGTTCATGTTGTCCCTTCTTCATTTTAGGAAGCTAGGGTTAAAATATTAATATAGTTTAAGCTATTACAACTTGTGCATCTTGTTAAATGCTTCCGTTTAGTCATCAACATACCCGTTAATATGTTGCACATTCATCTTGAACTAATTACCAGAAAGCGTAATTAAAGAATTTAACGGTATTGTAAGGTTTGTAATTATTTCAGAACATATTTTAAGCATCTGAATCAGTCTTCCGCTAATGGATACACTTAAATTGTGAATATTTTAGCCCTCGATTAGTGCTGAGATGATATGCTTGCACATGATTCTAGACTCACTTCTGTCGGCGTTTTCCAGATGCTGGTAATAATGCTGACTAGACAACAATTTTTGTGATCTACTTCGGATGTATTATGTGACGGTACTCTTATCGAATCATTTTCATGGTAAAAACTTTGTATTACATCACTTAGGTTGTTTACCTTATTAATGTTCACAGTTAAGAACAACAAGAGAACGCCAATTTATTCCAAATAAACACGTGAAAAATTTAATAAAAACTCAACATGGCCTTTATATACATAGTTTAACTAATTCATCCCGGAGTTGTTTCTCACTCGCAATTTTGTCCAATTGGTTATATGCCAAAGCTTTTCCGGATGCTTGTTCTGTTTTTAGTTTCTCAATCTGCGTCAATTTCTATTATTAACCAGGGGGAAATAATGCAAAATATAACTACACCAAGTTGTAATGTAGATATTTACTGTTATAATTTGTAATCCGACTTGCTTTTTACCATTTTTTATGGTTAGTAATTCTGTTAGGCGATGTTAGGACTAATGGAGATTCAATATTCCTTTCATATTTTCATGTTGTATGATCAATCAGAGTGGCGTCAATGTATAAAATTAAATCGTGAGATTAAATTTGCTTTCTACCTTTCCACTAACTAGTTTGTCACTGTCACTCAACCACATGTAAATGAAATCCGTCGTGCGTGTAATAAACAAGGGATAAAAGTTTGTAGGTAAACGGCTACACTAATCGAGGTTATTGAGTCAATTCACACCCATAAGTGTAATGACGATTGATAAGGCTTATGTATAAGGTAAAGCATGTGAATCCATAGTTTAAAGTCGTAAGGGACATATTCCGGAATCGATCACAATACACCTGTTTATCGAAGCCTCAAGTATACTCTGTCAATCATCATCTGCAACTATCTGAACGGACATATCTTAGTGCTAGTTTTCTTGTTGTTGATTACGTCTGTTCCAGTACAAAGGAAATGTATGAGACTTTGTTTAGCTTATAGGTTACGGACAGTACGAGACTTAAAGTATTGAATAAGTGTAAGCTAAACGTTCACTAACTCCCGTTAATACAATGTTATGAGTAACGATAGAAACAACCGCTATAGCAAAACTATGCACTGTTTTTTTGTAGAAATGTCAACTGACATTCACATCACTGACGAATACCACCTCCAAAGGAGAATGTAATGGGCGCAATAACTGCTAGGTGACTAAAGAGAACTTCTCGTTTCAAGTCGTGAAAACAAAATTACCAATATATTACTTTACAGTCTATCTGAAATTACCAGTAGCTATAATGATAAAATGCAAGGGGTTGTGACATTGTAGTAGACATAATATCGAACATATGTAAATAAAGAGATTGGATAGAATGCGACAATGAACTCACTTTGTGTATCTGGTTGACTTGCTTTTGGTTCTTTGGGTCTGATGCAACTGGGTGGGTGCATTTATGATTAGATTTATTCGAAGAAAATGTGGTTTTTTGATTCGAACCAGTAGCTAAACAAGATTCAAAATAAGTTAGCGAGTTCTACAAAACTTGCTTTCATCACGTCTTAATTTTATATCATTCATAAAAGAGCTTCTGAGTTGAGAGAGTTCATTGAACTCGACATCATGACTTTATGGAATAGAAATAAAAAGATTGTCAGGTAGTGAAAATAATTGGGGTAAATTAGCGAATCAAGTCTCACACAAGGATGGAAGAAGGTGGACCATAATAAGTCTAGTACTGGGCAGTAAAGCCATGTTTCATAAGCAAGTAAGCTTGCGTGACTCCGTGGTTATATGATAAAAAAAACTAGTTGGTGTTTACTAGTATGTAGTTTCAGCACAAAATGTGGTCGTTATTAAAATTTCAAACCAAGAAAATTACAGGGAACCCAAAAGCATTAGACAATCATCTCGTCGGAGTCTGGTTCACTTCAGGAGTGCGCCACCGGGACCCACAGTGTCGCAAACGCTTAGTCTCTTGACCTTTGGAGTCAAGGTCAAATCTCCTCAACTAAATCAGTACGGCAACACGAAGTTGTGAACATCAAATTGAGTCGAAGTAGTCTTCGTATTAATAATAAAGAGAAAGGCTTGACATTAGGATGAGTATGTCTGAAAACAACAGATATGTTCGAGTTTGAAAAATACGAATTAATGATAAAAGTTTTAGAAATAAAGGGGCAAAAAAGTCCCTTACAACAAATAGCTTTGTGAGTTTTCAACAATAATTTCTTTGAATACGCCCATGATTGAAGGTACTCGGTCAGGAATTTGCACCCGATGCCTTTGGACACCCAGTGCTGTGCATTTCTTACTATAACTAAGCTTACATTTTAATTATTGCAACATATGACTCGCGTGTTTTTGCGCTACATCACCCTTGACTGACTTCGAGATCATTACGTAAGAGATTGCGGGTAGTAGTGCGTTAAACCTTGCGTATCGTGACATCTTTGGAGGGAAACAGATTGTAATAACGATCTGTTCTGAATCATGTATCACAGTGAATTCACCCACTGGTCGCTTCTGTCATGGGTGATTCTAACCATGTAATTCATGTCAACCATGATAGCTCGATTCGACAATAAATGTTTTTAACGATAATAATCTAACCAGGCCGGTATTGTATACCTACTTAGGCGGTGGTTCAGTTCAAATGACGTAACCATCTCAATTAATGATAAGTCACAACCTTATTAATCAATACGCCATCATTAGTTAGCTTCAGCAATACCTCAGAGACAACCATGACAGTTACAGACTAGTACATGACGTAAGGAATAGCATTTGTTTTATAAGACTGTTATTTAGTGACTAGAAATCTTGATTGGCATAATAAATTCTTCGATCGAGATAGTCAATACACTAGCATGAATTCTAAACATGTCCTGATTTGGACCCCTAATGAGATGAATGTACATAGTAGGATGATACGACTGTCTAATGTTATCTACTCTTGTTCGAATCATTTACTACAGTTTGATTTTTGAAACTATGCTTTTCTGAAAATTGTTGTTGCAAAAACTTTTAAAAAAGGTAGTTACAATGCTTGTTTTGAATAAAGTATGTTGAATAATTGGTTAATTTCATTGTTGAGACAGCTAATTCACGTACGCGCACATGACTTTTAAATACTATGTTTAATCCTCTTATTATAATAAAAGTATATTACTATTCATACATACAGTTCGATTTGATGTTTAAATTTTTTGACTGACATTTAAATAGTTCAATCAAACTTGCAAGCATCAATTCCATTTTATACATACAAAGTGAATTAAAACATGTTTTACAACTGCCAAAGTTTTACTAATCATTACAGTTAACTGTAAATAAATTAAATGATCCCTTTAACCAATCCTAGTTGGCTTTTTTTTCTTAGCAATGTGACCTTCTATTATTGTACTAAATGTTGAAAACAGACTTATTGGTCTAGGTCACATGCTTTGTTTACGATGACTAATATAGACAATATACACACATTTGAGGTCATTACTGTCATTTAGTTGGTTATGACTTTTAATACATAAAAATCAGTTGTATATGAGAATTATTGATTATTTTTTTTATTTACTTTTAATAAAAGGCTTAGTTGGATTAGAAGGTGTTCTATGTCCGATTTCTTTCCAAATAATAAGATATTTATTATTTTTTGATTTATATGGAAATAATTTCCGAAAGAAAAACAACCCTTAAAGTAATAAATCAATTAACATAAATAGGAAAAATTATTTCAGTGAACTTTAACGTTTTCAGCCAAGATTAATGAATTAAAAAAAACGCTTTAAACTTTCATTCAAAGACTCTTAATTATTCCAGAACTAAGTCCACTATATGCGTTTTTTTAATGTTCACAACATAAGTTAATTGATAGGTATCAAAACAAAAAGGCTAACCATACATAAAAAAAGTTAAGAATTTAATATCGAAACCTATTTTACTATAATCAGTATATGCCTAGGTTAGGATTTATTTCCAATTAATATCATGGAGAGATATCGGATTAAGATTGACAATATGAGATATTAATAGTTGCATTCGTGAGTTAATCTAAGCTAGATCACCATTGAAAACCTGGAGTTCTAGTGAGAAGCCGTGATCAGTGGAATCCAATCCATGTTGAGTAGGAAACAGGTATCTACCTCATACAATTGATGAATAGTTGTACAAGATCATGAATCAATTGAAGTTAAACATTAATACCGTTGGATGTCGTCTCAGTGGTCTGTAGGTTAAGCATTCGCACGCGACACCAAATGTCCTGGGTTCGAGTCCCACATGCGGGATTGTGTATATGCACTGATGAGTAGTCCCATACTAGGATGAAATGTCTATCCAGTGTTTCCAAGATTTCAATGATGGTCTAGCTTAGATCGATTTATGAAGTCAACTATCAAAATTATTACAATAGAATACTATGTTTTTATAACCTATCAAGAAGAATGAAATGTTATTGGACAACCAACATACTTTTGCTTGGATTCAATTTTTCAATGTTAGAATTATTATTGTTAAAAGAGTGGGTAGAAATTTTACCATGATCAATCATGTTGGATGCTTTCAATGATTGCACAGCTACTGCAGAACGATTACGAAGAACCGGAGGTACGTAAACCGAAGAACGTTTATTTACTGAATCTACAATAACCTTTCACGAGGGAATGGAATAATGATTGTTATACACAATAAAACTGAAATAAGAATATATCGTTATGTAAATAAAATGTTTGAGTATGAAATATATGAGAGTGGTAATAGGTCACAAGTATTACAAGCAAAGATGGATGATCGCTAGCAGTGAGATCCAGGACGCGCGTTTCATCCTATTTGGGACTCGTCAGCTGGATGTACTTGCATCCCAGAGTTGATGTTCACTTCGCAACTCGAACCCAGTTCGCTTCGAGAGTTATCTACTTAGCATTGTGCAATATAATAGTTATTGATGCTTATAGAAGCAATGCATATTTCAAAGTGTTCATTTCATCAAATTGATAGATATGTATGTTGTTTATATTAATGAGATTTGAACTCACGATCAATATGCTTTATATATCATTATTTAATACAATCGTTCAGTTACGGTTAAATAAGTGAATTTGCGTTGAATTCGATAAACTCAAGTTCTCTCAATTCATCAAATCCACGAGTAAAATTATCATTATCTTAATTTATTACTTACTTACGCCCATTACCCTCGTGGAGGAGCATAGGCCGCCCATCAGCATTCTCCATCCAACTCCGTTCTGAACAATCCTTTCCAGTTGCGATCCATCCTTCTGATGTCTGCCTCCGATGCCCGGAGCAGTGTGTTCTCTGGTCTTCCTCTTTTCCTTTCCCCTTCAGGATTCCAAGTTAGCACTTGATTTGTGAAACAGTTTGATGATTTCACCAATGTATATCCTACTCACCTCCGACGTCTTTTCCTCACTTCCTCTTCATCTCGATGCTGGTTTTTTCTCTAACACAATAGGCCGTTGCTGATGGTATCCCGCAAACTGATATTCAGTATCTTATGTAGATAATTGTTTATAAATACATGTGTTTTTTGATGATGGTTGTGGTAGTTCTCCACGTTTCAACTTCCTGTAGTAGAACTTTCTTGACGTTCGTGTTGGAGATTTCGAATTTCGTATTGTTTGACAGTTGTTTCGAGTTCCATATTTTCTTCAACTGTGTGAATGCTGTCCTTACTTTGCCAATCCTTCCCTTCACGTCTGTACCACATACTTTTTGTTCATCGATGATGCTACCCAGGTTCGTGGAAGTTTCCACCTGTTCGAGAGTTTCTCCATCAAGTGTGATTGTATTGGTTTTCACCGTGTTATATTTTAGGATCTTGGTTTTTCCCTTTTGTATGTTGAGGCCTACTGATACGGAGGCTTTTGCTACACTGGCTGTCTTTATCTGCATGTGTTTGTGTGTATGAGATATAAGAGCTAGGTCATCTACGAAGTCTAAATCGTGTAGTTGTGTCCAAGTTGTCCATTGTATTCAGTGCTACCCTTGAGATGTGGAGGTCTTTAAAATCCAGTCAAACACCGGAAGATAGAAAGTAGGCAGTTTTATCTGACTCCCGTACTCCCTTGGAATATGTTTGTGAGCTGTCCTCAATGCACGAATTTGCAGAGTAATCCGTCACATGAATTCCGAACGATGTCGACGATTTTCGCAGCTACTCACACCATAATGTAGAGGAAGGTTCCATAAGGTCCTCCTATCCATACTGTCAAATGCTTCCGCATAGTCAAGGAGGTTGATGTATGGTGACAAGTTCCATTCATTTGATTGTTCGACCGTGATCCGCAGTGTCACGATTTGGTCCGTGCACGACTGATCCTTACGGAATCCGGCTTGTTGATCTGGAGGGCGGTCGTCAGCTGAATCTTCCATCCTGTTCGGTAACACTCTGTTGAAGACTTTTCCCGATACATATAGTAGAGTGAGATACCTCGGTAGTTTTCGCATTTGCTCAGATCTCTTTTATTTGGTATCTTGACGAGGTATCCTTCTTTCCAGTCCATCGGCACTTGTTCTTCTTCTCCTCAAATCTTCCTGAATAGAATGTGGAGCATGTCTGTAGTTGCTTCTATGTCTGACTCCAGTGATTCAGGTTGTATATTGTCAGGTCCTGTTGCTTACCCACACCTGATTTGTCTGATGGCCACCCTGATTTCTTCGATTGTTGGTAGAGTTACATCTGCGGGAAGGTCTGTAGGTACGATGTTCGGTGGATTCAATGGAGCTGGTCTATTCAAGAGTTCTTTAAAGATCTACCTGTTCCTCTGTCCTTGACTCTCAGTGATCGGCATCCGCCCGTAGATCTTCTAGGGTTACTGTCGGTCCCATGACCAGGTAAATGATGTGGGTTAGGCATGGGGTTAATAACCTCATCATGTGGAAAAAACTTGCTTAGAAAACACTATCATTACCTAGAGGGTAGATATCATTTTAGAAGCCGTATCAAGTACAACAATTTTTCTCTCTACTTACCGATGTTTTTAACTGCTATCTGAATTGACTGACGATTAAGTAAATTTTGGTATTCAGAGAAATAGATCATCTGTTACTAAGTAATTCATTTAAAATAATACAGCCTTGTTTATTCACCATTATGCTGTTTCATTCCGTGAATACAAAGTAAAGTTGTTAACATAATTAAAAAAAATTCGAAAACTTACAGACTCAAACTTTTTCGGTTCAGGAGCAGATTCCAGTTTTGTTGGAAATATAACTGAAACTTGATATAATTCATGATCAACTGCAGCGGGTAAATCTGGTGTAGCTGCTCTAGGAATAGCACGTCGTTCAACTGGTCGATAGGATAATTTTTTACCACTATAATGCCATATTCCAAAGCTATGAAAGTTAAGACAATAAGGTTAAATTAAAAATTCACTCATGATTAATGAAGAAAAGATCATAATAAGTTTATTGGTATACAATGATTCGACGTCAAGCTAAAAATATTCTGACTATATTTTGAATTATCTAATAACAAGACAAACTATCAATAGAGCTGAAAGAATAAGCTATGTTCGGCACGCAATTTTCTCCCTCGAAATGCAAAATGTTGTTTCAGGACTGGGTTGCATCGACACCCGAACTAGTGATAGGGAGTGAAGTAGTTGAGCATGTTGACCACTTCACTTATCTTGGAAGTCTCATCAACCCTTGTGGTCTGGTGTGTGACGAAATTTCAGCACAGATACAGAAAGCTCGACTAGCTTTTGCCAACCTGCGTCATTTATGGCGTAGGCAAGATATCCATCTACCAACCAAATAACGGGTTTACTGCGCAGCAGTTCGTTCGTCCTACTTTATGGCAATGAAACATGGCCGGTAAGAGTAGAGGATATTTGTACGTTACTAGTATTTGATTATAGATGTCTTCGAAACATTGTTCGTATATCCTGGGACCATCGAGTAAGTGACGCAGTTGTTAGGAAACGGGTACTAGGTAAGGATGGCAAATCAATTGATGAAGTAGTGAAACTTCATCAGTTGAGATGGCTGGGACATGTGTTACGCATGCCCATCCACTGACCGCCCCGACGTGCGATGTTTTATGGTGTAGGAGTAGGTTGGAAGAAAGCTAGGGGCGGTCAGACCAAAACATGACACAAATCCATGGAGTCATTGACAAGTGGACTGGGCCATGTTAGTAGGTGTAGACTACCTGGTTGGGATCCGCGAGATGATAGCAAGCGATGGTTGGTGACTCTGAATGATATGGCTCAAAATCGTTTGCAATGGTGCAGGTGCATCCACTCTTTGTGTTCTCTCAAACACTAATCTTCTGAATTCTTAATGTCCTTTACTTTCTTTCCAAATTTATTTCACTGTATTATACTGCTTGAATAACATCTTCAAACCCTAATCTTTCCGATTATTGCTGCTTATACTCTTACCACCTCTACCACTACGGGATTTGAATCGACAACTGTATCTCTGTGCTAATGCGGTGTGGCAACTCGAACTGATGTACGTACGTACGAAGTTCCACGTTGTTACTGACTGACTGATTAGGCGACCATACAGATCGAAGTATATCATGTGTAGTATAAACGAATCCATGATTCATTGGTTACAAAGTGAAAATTTTAATGCCGATGTGTTTCATTTTTTGGTGAATAACTTTCAAAGGTTCCAGTGGTCAGTAATTAATCTATACAATACACAAAATCACACAATTTTCACGATGAGTAAATGAAATTAAATACATAAACAAACAAAATTAATCGATTTGACACAATTCCGATTTTACAGTTTCCGAAGATGCTAAATAAATATTTGATAAAAAGTAAAATCAAAGCTAAACAAATGGATTTGAATATAAAGGACAGGAAACTGTGAAACAAATCATCGACTGAAAAATTGAGCAGAGAAAATTATACAGTTTTATA